ACTTTTATTGAACAATGTTAGACTTTTGAGAATTTTAATTCTGATTACATTAAATTACTTCTTTCAAAAATTTTAAGATTGGATACGGTAAGTGAACTAACAACATAAAAAAAATTTTTTTTCAATAACGTGCTGATTGATGTTCACTGTTTTTAAAAATTTCAAAAGTTTAAAAGTTGACAAAGATTATTTTTTAATATCATAAATAAAGTTATTCAAAAGAATAATTTTAAGAAAGACTACCAATCTTGCATTTTTTGCATTAACATTAGCGCCATTATCTATTAAGAATTTGATAAGCTTAAGGTCTCCAAATCTGCAAGCGTAGTGTAGCGAAGTTTCCTAGAATCAAATAAGCGTTGAGTTGACAGTTTTGAAGCAAACAAAAGCATAAAAACTGCAACAGAAGTACCCTTTCAGCGTCACTTAGAGTTGCCCAATGCACTTGCTGCGCCTTGGTTCCGGAATTCAAAGTTTTGAGCAACTGAGACGTATTACCTTCCTTGGCGTACTCCAGAACTTCTCTATCGCTTACCATACTAACATAAGAGCAACTTCTGTAATTGATTTTTTTGACCATTCGACCAAAATTTTGGTTGTGTTGGTGAAGCAACACAGAATTCCGGAAAAATATTTGTTACCACTCTTACATAACTTCAAATCAATGTGAAACAAAGTCAAATAATTTAAATAAAATAGTCTTTTATTTGTTAGCAAAAGATGTTGACTGTATAAAAGAAGAAAACCCTGTAGTAAACGTTGTGATATCCTAACCAACTACAAATTCTCTTAAAATTTGCCTTCAGAAGAGCTACTTTTGAAGAAAAAGATTTGCGGAATTCGGAAATAAAGAAGAGCAAGCATTAACAGTTTTGAATAAAGACAGGAATTCACAGCACTTTTGGCTATAAAATCTTATCCGCTGACTTCCTAATGTTTTTTTTTTACTGAGTAGAAAAGTTAAAAAAGAAACATAATTAATTTGTCAATTAATTTTTTAAAAAATTAGGTTCAAATCTAACTTTTTTTGAACTTTTGTCTTTCCTGTTTTATCGATACAGTAAATTAGTTAACGCTATTCTTCTCATAACTCTAGACAACTTGAAAAGAATTTACTTCAGTCTACCGCTTTTTTAGTCTGAGCACTCAATTTTATCGATGTTTCTGTCGTCGAGCAGAAAACCGTGAAAGGTTTCTTACTGAAACCTATTTTAAAAATAAATGCTTTCGTAAGCTGTTTTAGAGAAGATTTATTTCACAAACTCTTGAAAGTAGTATGGAAAGAACTTGGTTCAGAATATAAATATAACGATCATATTAAAAGTGACACACAACAGAAACGACAGCTCAGAAAGTGCTGAAGGAAATTTGACAAAAGCTGATAACAGTGATAAAAAAGAACGTAAAGCAAGATAAAATCATTTAGATTATAGCTTGTAAATAATGACGTTCTAACACCTAAACCTTGCTCATTTGCAGTAGTAGCTTTATTAGAAACAAATGAGCAAATTACTGTATAAATAAGTCGTTAAGCAGTCGATTGCAAACAAGAAATTAATATTTTCTTTGTTCTAAGAGTAATTTTTTTGTTTCTCAAATTGATGGAGAGAAAGATAAAAGGGTAAGTGAATGAAAGTCTCACACAAGCTTAAAAGTGATAAAATAAAAGATTACTTTCTGCAGTAGTAAAAAAAATCAAGGACCACAGACAACCCGACATAGTGATTTAAAATA